CGAAACTCGACGTAGGAGAGAATTGATCGTCGTCGGTAGACGATGAATCGACGAGGCGCGTGCTCGCGAAAACAAAGATACATCGACGATCGATTGGCAGTCGATCGAACCGTCTATTTTCGAGCGATCCATCTCGCGAATCGACGCGGCTATTTTTGGCGAACGCGGCACGAGACGACTCGTGACAGCGATCAGCCGACTTTGGCGAATCGATATCGATAGGAATTTGAATCGTTATCCGCGCGTGAACGCGATACCGCGCTTCTGTGCGGGATTTCGATCGGTAGGGAGGTCGCGCGCGTGGAAAAGGGGGCGAAGGATGGTCAGGCAAATGTAGCAAAGGCGAGGCGTGGCAAGAAGCGGAAGGAGAGAAAGGATCGCGCGAATTTCTCGACGTTGAACGCGTACGCGCCGACGTATTTGCTCGAAGATGCACTTACCTTGGACACGGAGGAGGTTTCGAGATGCCTGTCTTGTCAGCGCTAGCGTGACATCGAAGAACGACGAGGAACGCGAGGAAAACAGCATTCAACAGGCAATTCATCGAAACGCAGGCCGTGGAAAAGCGCAGGGCCATTTTCTCGTAACTGCCGATCTCTCCACGCGATCGCCCCTTTTGCGATTCGTCTTATACGACAGAGTTTTAGCAGATTTTTCTGCCGCGATCGCACACCGTTTCGTCACGATATCTTCGAAACGGACGCGATCTTTTCGCTCTGTTCCGTCCGTTTCGTTTCACGAAAATACAAAGATCCTACAGCACCGAGTCTCTCTTCGCTCTCGAAACTTTTCAAAACATTTTTCTTCGTCCTTCTCCTCCTCCTCCTTTCGCTCCGTTTACGCTCCTTTCGTTAGTGTTTCCTTCGTCTCTCTCTCTCTCTCTCTCTCTCTCTCCCCCTTTCTTTCCCTCGCTTTCGACCGGCTATTGCCTGTCTACCTGCCTGCCTGCCTGTCTTTCGTACGTTTTTTCTCGGTCTTTTAGTTTTTTACTTTCTCTTTTCTCGTTTATACGTTTCGATACGTTTTTCTTGATATTTTCCGTTAGATCTTTGCGTCTACTTTTAGAACGTTTTATTCTTTATCGATTCGTTAAGACGTAACGGCGTGAAAAAGACAAGACGCGGGACGATACTTGAGCTTTTTCTTACTTTTTGGTGATCGCTCGTGGATGCGGGCCTTGCGTCTTTCGCAGCCTGCGAGGCGGTCTCAGCTCCAGCAGCACGGCCTCATCTTCCCTGGAACAGAAACGAACATGTTTGGAACGATCGGAAAAGGAAGACAAATCGGAGAACGTCGCCGATCGCGTGACTTTTTTCTTCGCGCGCGGATACAGTCTGTACGCGAGTTTAATTCGCGATTGCGTAACCGTTTCCGACAGCCGGCGATTCGACGACGATTCGACGGCGAGCAACGTTAGAGACGATGATTCGGCGGAAATCATACGCTCGAATCGTTACTTACTCGAACCAGCATCGAATCCGATTATTCGAGCCAAAACCCTTTCCTTCCGCGATCACGTTTCGTCGAAAGCATCGAAACGATTAAGGAAATTTTCCTTGATCCGCGCCGGATCGAGCACGAAAGATTTATCGGGCCGCGTACACCGCCCTACCGTTCTACCGTTCCGCGAGCAATCTCGTTAATGGAACCGTTAACGAGATAGATTAACGCGAAATCGATTAACGGGAGAGATAGCGAGGACCTCGAAAGGCGAATCTATCGCGAAGCGCGATAGAAATATGCTTCGTTTCCGTCGTTTTATTTCGCTCGTTCGGTTTTCGAGTGGATTCGCGCATCGTTTCCATCGAGATGCTTCTCGCGTCGCGTCACGCTACGCCGCTTTACGTCACGGTACACCACGCGACCGCGACGTTTCGATACGATCCTAGACACTAGAGACGGCATGCCATTCGGAGATAGGTAAATCGATCCCTCGCGCGGGACACCGTCACGCGATACTTGCTCGACTAGACGTTTTTGGCGCAACAAGCTTCTCGTTCGACGTTGCAACGCGAAACTTTATCGTCCCTCCTCTTATCCTCCTTTCGCTCTATCCGCGACGACGGAAAGACGTTCCGTCGTTTCGAGCGCGAAATTTGCGCGACCGTCCGTCCGAGTAGTCGCGACACGGATCGAGGTCCCTCGTGGGACGCTTACCTCGTCGTTATCGTTCGTGCGTCGTAAATGGAGGAGAATCGAGCGGAAGAAGAAAGCGAGTGAGAGCGAGTGGAAAAGGGAAGCGATATCTCGTGGAAACGGAACGAGTAGTCGAACGCGAACGGAAGAGACGATCGTCCAGCCCGGGGAAGGTGAACGCGCGAAGCACGAAGCGGGAGAAGCACGGTGCAAAGCGCACCGTTCGAGATACGGCGTGCAACTAAGTCGCTCGAGGGAACACGCGGTCGCTTTATGAGCGCGATCGAGCGCGATCGAGCGCGATCGTGCGCGAGGAATGCGTGAAGAATGCATAAAGTACGCGCGTGTCGAGCCTCTGGAGCCGCGCGTTGCGATTGGTCTGCTGACCGGCCCGCGACCGTTCGAACGAACGTGTCCCTTATCGTTCCTTTTCGTTAACTTCCGTTACATTCTGCGCGAAATCGAACGATCCGTGAAATTTCGTTATCTCTCGGAATGCGTGCGCGATCGTCTTTACCGCGATTCGACACGTACGAGGGAACGCGGGAGAGGCGGAGGCCAATGAGATGTGGTTCCTCGAATAAATTCTCTCGATAAGATTAAAACGCGGAAGAGAAGGACGACCACGTTCCGGACTCTCGAACGCGTCCGACGAACGAAAAACAGATAATAAGTTCTTCTCGAAAGAATGAAAGGGGGGGGGGCTCGTCGAAGCGTGCTACACATAAACGGGATAAACGCGCTAAACATCGGATGAAAGCGAGCGTGCTCGTTTCGGCAGCCGTGCTCCGAGAAACGACTACGACGAAAAAGTGTGCGTAACGGTGAATGGCGAAGGAGGGGAAGGGAGAGGGGAAGAGAGAGGAAAAGGCAAAGGCAGGAACAGAGACAAGGTTCGTTCCGGCAATTGCCCGCGAGGAGTCTTAGAGTTTAATCGCGACGCTACGCCAGAGAATGGACGTTGCTTTAACCACAATCATTCTATTGGCTATTTTTAGTCGGAAATAGGTCGGAGCAGAGGGATCGCGATATCGAGAGAATAATTTCGACGGTGGCGATCATCGGAGCAACCTCGTGTGCCTTTCTTTCGCGAGGACGGTACGTGTCGTGGGAGACGATAACAATATGCTTCGAGTAATCGTCGAACGCCACGGTCGAATACGAAAAGCCCGAGCGAATTAATTACCGTTCGCTCGCGTAACGAGTCTGCCGTAATTAGGTAATTCAGGCACGTTCGCAGTTTATTCTTCGAGCCTCGTACCTCGATGCAGCTGTGCACCTGTGCCGCGTGCGCGGCAACTCGTCGCGAACAATCGGACCACAAGCGCATTTATCTCGTGTAACGACCAAAAATGCTCTTTTGTCGATCATTTCGTTTACCTTGTAACGCGGCCGAAAGTGAATCGCGCCGCCTAATCGAAAAGAGAAGGAGCATAACGACACGTTCCCGCGCGAATACACGGATCGAAAGAAAGGAAATCGATTTCGCTCTCGATGCGCGTGTCTCTCCCTTTCTTTCGACCTCGAACTCGCCGGTCGGACGCGTTCCCTTTCGAATCTCTGAAATTACCTCGGAAAAAATAAACGAAATCGGTAAACTCCGATCGAATCGTCGATCGAATCGCGTGGCTGGCTGCGTTACGACACCAAGTCCGCTTCTCCTGAAACGAGGAGTCGGTACTTCCCTCTTTCGACGACGCAACGAAACGCGTCCGTGCTCGCACCGATGCCAGGCAAAGAGGATCGTGGTCGATAACGCACAAACGCGAGACAACTGTCGGTAACGTGATATACGAGTCGAACGAGCGCGCTCTTCGAACGTCGATCGTCGGTCACTGTACGACAAATCGAGTGGAACATTTTTCTTTCGCCATCGAAAATCGAGCTAGAATTTCGAAGATCGTTCCTTTAAAATAATTCGAAAGATGTCGAATCATCGCGCGAGTATACCAGACGTGTACCTTGTCACGTAGGTTACGTCGGAGGACGCGAAGGGAATCGAATAACGGTGCCACGCGAATGACGCAACGTATTTTCATCCGTTCGTCATCTCCTAATTTTCCTTTTCCGACGCCAAGTCGATGCGTGCTCGCGTTCATCCAATCGTCGTGTACTCGTCACGCCTCCTTTCGTGCTTCGAAACCGGATTTCGCGATTTTCGAAAAAGAAAGAAAAAGAAAGAAAAAGAAAAAAAGACGCGATTTTGCTCCGTTTCGGAAGAACCACCGTGGAAAATTTTTATCGTCCTTACGACTCGTTCCCCGATAAAGCGTAATCGCGATCATTCCGATATTCCAGCGGATCCGATTCGCGGGGAAGGAAGAAAATAATGAAGCGCAATTGCGCAAACCCTCGGTCGTTCCAACGTAGGTTCCTTGACGTCACGCGAATATTACGCGACGGCCAATGGTTATTCGCGTGGCGACGAGCCCCTCGCGAAAATTAACGGAACATCGGTGTCGGTACGCCTATTCACCTTGCCCGTACGCGTCCGTTGCTTTTAACGAACGTTAACGATCGAAACGACGCGCGACCACCACTCGTCCGGCCGATACGAAAACACCGCGTTTCAACCGGAACATTTTAACGTTCTTTTGCTTCTTTTCTTCGGCGAAACGCATCGGAGGAAGAACCGATAACGATAAACGTTTCGAAGATAGCGAGAAAACGATTATGTTCACGAACGCGACTTTAACATTGCCACTATTGACAACCGCAATCGAGCTGCGATTTACGTATTCGCGACAGTGCGATCGTCAACCATCGAAACGTAGAGCGCGAACCGGCTCTCGAACGATCACGCTAATTTTTACGTAACCGATCGCGAGAATGAAATATTAACGAGTAACATTTTTTTTCCAACCCCCCGTTCCGGATCTCTCTTACTCGACGAACAGTTTATTCCGACATTTAATACTGCTACGAATATTGTTTCGAGCGCGACTCGCCGTTTACGAATATTTACTCGTTCCAGCGACGATCAACGCGATCTAAACGGACGCGAGTGAAACGCGCGAACGTAAATTGGAATTCAGGCCAACGGAGATACGAGACGAAGGTGGAGTTGCCAAATTTTTACGCGAATTTTTCCATTCGAGCTTCCCTAGTTCGCGACCGACCTGACGAAATAACGCGTGCTTCGATCGTTGTCTTCGTTCGAATATCACGAACCCGATACCGAACAACTCGCGTTCTTTTCACCGTTTGGGCACACGATTCGAATCGGACTACAACGCGACGCGACGATGCGTCAGTCGCGTAACTTTCCTCGTCGAAAACTTGTCGTTGATTACGACGCTCGCTTCTATTTCGGAATACGGAATGGCAGCGCGTTACCAAAAATGAATCGTTACTTTTTTTGCGAGACGAATACGCGCAGCGATTCGATTTCCAATTATAGGAACACGATAAGAATCTTTAATCGCGTAATCGAGCTGATTACGCTCGGCTCGACGAAAAAAATCTTCATTCGATATTCGGTGTTAAACGATTCTGCGAACCGAAGTTGTCGCGAACGAAACTGCAACGTCGGTGGAACCTCGATCTCGTCGTTCGAGATCGTACAAAGTCTCGTGAAACGTTTCGTCTTGTTACATCATTATCGTTCAAATAACTTGCGCGTTATATTTAAAAATCGCAAAAACGAACAAAATACCTGAAAATCTTTAAAAATCGTTTAGTGTCGACAATCTGTAGAAATTCTCGGTAACGTGACCTTTTCGATATCGTGCATCGACGATGCCGAATACAATCGGAACGATTGCCGCGATCGATCGATTATCGAGAAAATCATTGAGCGTTTTGCTGGGCCAGTCGATTGGAGTCGCGTCGCGTCGCGTCGCGTCGCGTCGAGTGACGTTGCAAGATTAATAAGATCTTAATCGGCGAAACGTCAAGGTCTCGATAGAATGATCGTTCCGTGCGGTGTTTGGCAGAAAAATCGAAAGAAAGGAAAGACGAGAACGAATGAGAACCGTCGGTGATCGAGCCCCTTGGTCGATGTCCGGTCGAACCAATCGCGACTCGACTCGGGACCAACGCCTACGAATTCCTCCAATCAGAGAGCAAGTCGTCCGAAGGCGCGTTCGTACATACCTACTTACGTATCCGCTTTCTCCGCGGTCCCGTGCATCGTGACACTTGACACGCCGTGCGCGATTCTACGAATTTTACCGATATTCCTCGACTATCCGCATCGGTTAACCGAATAATTTTCGTAGGCGCGTGAAAAAATCGAATTTACAACGCGCCGCGTTTCGATTTTATATCGATCCTATCACCGGTCAGCATCTTGCTCCGTTACGTGGCTACTAAGCTACGTACGATACGACATTCAGCGTAATCGTATACGGTTCTTATGGGAGAATCGCAAATATTTTCTACGGTATAAGTTTACACGCTAACAAAATCTAATAATACTATTAGGTCGACCCTCTTTTACTTTGAAATCAATTTTGGCAGCTTTTCAATTGTGACACTGCCATACTAACATTATAACCCAACATTACTTAAGACAACGCGAAATCTCCTTTGGATCGATGTACGTCTCGTATCGATCGATCGATCGATTTCAAATCTAACAACTTCGGCTAACGTAGCCGGAATAAAATGTTGTATTTCGATCGAAAGAAACGGGTATCTATCTTGCCACGATTCTTCGTTAATTGGAAGCGTACAGGCGTTTCCACTTTTTAATCGATGTTCCACGAATTACAAAAACGCCGAAATAAACAACGTTTCAATGTGACCCTCCGAGTAAACACGCGCGCAAAATGCAAAATACCAAATTCAAGGCTATCTTCCGCTCTTATTTTCTATGCCAAAGCGCAAAGATACGACTCGTCGTCTAACGATCCACGTGCAAATTACTTTCTTCGAGCGCGTGTAGAATCGATTTTGCTCTTTGCCCGAACATGTTCATGCTCGTCGTTGTTTCGCGAATAACTTTCTGATACAAACAAAAAATCCTCGTGAAACATTATGTAAGACGATCTATGAAAAAGCGCGTTTCCATCGCGAGTCGCCAAAAGTGGACTCGGTTTGTATGTAGCGACCAATGTCAGAACACGTGCCTTCGAACGTTCTATTCGAGTGTCGTTTTACGCGGGATAAACGTACCTTCAACCTTCGTCTATTCCTAATGTGTCGCTGAACCAGATGGAATAGAGAGAAAACTGTATCGCGCACCAAAAGTCACTCGCACCCCTGCGTTATCTCACAGCCGATTAGAAAAGAAAATCGCATGATCTTGCGAATAAAATCATCCGCGAAACGATACGATACGACTGTTGTACGCGTATATTTAGTCGATGACGAAATTAATCGATTCGTTGCGGAGAAACGAAAACGTGATCACGGCACCGTGTTACGTGTGTGACTGACCGAGAGTATCCGAGCGAACCTCCACCGTTCAGACACTCTCTTCATCTTTCTTGCTCTCTTCTTCTCTCTTTCACGAGTCTCCACTCTCTCTCTCTTTCTCTCTCTTTTCCTCTCTCCCTTCCTTACGTGCGCACTCACTCCCTCCGTTTTCTCAAGCTTGCCAAATCTCGCGCTCTATCCGTCTCTATCTTCGATCGAGATAGACATGCGCAAGTATATAGTGTACGGTGTACAGTACAGATAAGTACAATTATGTCTTTGCTCTACGGTGTTTTCCGCGCATCGAACAAACCAAAGTTGCTTTTTATTTGAAAAGGGATAAAGGATTCGGAAAAGCACGAGTAAACTGTTACGAGTACATTTTTTTCGTACTTTTTTTCAGGCATGCTCCATGATCCGTGCACACGGACAACCCGGTATGAACTGGTTTGCGTCAAGAGTAGCTAGACACTTCGACTTTGCGCGAAGATCAACGAAAATAACCGAAAACGGACCACGTGCCCGCGAAGCGAATCATTCACTAATTTTACCTCGACCATAAACGACCACAATTTTGATCGTCGCGATCGATTTTCTTGTCGTGCTACGCTTGATGCGACAGTTCGTACTAGTGTTACCTACTTGAATCGGCGACAGAGAAGCAAACCGAATAGACAACGACGATCGAGATCGTCGAAGAAAGCTATTTTCTTCGTCTCTCTGCGACAACAGTGTAATATCGTAAAAAACATCTTGAACTGTGTTCACTGTCCATTAGCCGATCTTCTAGAAATGAAGAAATAAATTTAAATGTACGAGAATCGCCGAATCGATACGAAAAGAACCGAAGATACCACGTGCCGCGTGATCTCGCTTTACCGCGACGGCGCGGCGCGGCGGCATACGGTTACCAGAAGTGCCCTCTTTGATAGCGATAGAATAATCGTCGTTCGATAAAGATACAATTAATCTTTTACTTTTTTATTTAATAAGCACTTTTGAATCGGTATTCAAATTTATTTTAATTGAGCAATTATACGATCGTACCTCTAACGGTGTGGCGAAATCAGTTTTAAGAAATATAATTTCACTTTTCTTCTTTTAAAGATATCATATCGATTTGTACTCTTATTTTTAATGGGACAATGAAACAAATTCAAGATAGAAAAAAATGTAACAACGGTTAAAGAAAAAAAAATACATACATATATATATACATATATATAATATATATGATGCTAAAAATAAAAAATTCAATGTTCTTTTATGAAAAAATAATTGTGTTTTTGATGAAAAGTATCACATACGTACCATTATAACGATCTCGGGCTTTTTTTCGAAGTATCCTTAACCTCGAAACTTTCAGCAGAGAAAAAATCGCGCACAAACCGATGCACAATAAACGTCACTTTCGAGTCGTTTACGGTTTTACTCGTGAAATATTTTCTTCGAAAAGACTGGCTCTTCGTGATTTTGAATTGTAAACGGTTTGCGAACAAAAACCGGGTGCGCGTTAAAGACCGTATCGTTCCAACTTCCAATACACGTGACTATTCGTTCGTGACACTACACCCGTCGAATATATCTTGTCAGCGAGCTAACGCGTCGTTGGAGGTTAGGTACACTCGTATCACGAATATTGTGCACAAACTTGATCGGTCGACGAATACGCGGCAATGAACGTGAAATTACGCATGTACGGTATAAAGGTCCGAGTCAATTATAAAATAAAAAGTGTTCGGTGTGCCGAAATACTAGCGTTAAAAACGCGGAAAACTGCACGACGTCGAGGTAGAAGGCGCGAACGCTCCGGCGTCCAATTGCTGACTAACGCACCGGTATGAATCGGGCTAACTTTTATGCTGCCCGTCCATGCTTATTGCCAATAAGAGTATGTATGTACCGGTTGTGACCGATTGCCGCAAGCCCTCTTGTTCGCTGCTAATCTCGATGCTGTGCACGCTTCGAAATTTTCTTGTTTCGAACCAACTTCAATATACGATGTATAATATTTTAGTCTTTGTCGCTACTGTGTCATCGTGAACGAAACATAATTCTAATCAAAATTGATTTTCTTCGTCGGCAACGTTCGTGGATTTTGTTAATTTTTTTTTTTTTACACTGTGCGGTTAAAATCTGGTCACGTGCTATCTTAACGTATTCGAGGTCGATTAATCGAAAGAGATCGGGGCGTCACGCGACATCATTACTCGAATAGTTTCATAGTCCTGCGTAGGAAAAAAGTCATTCAGTTTTACGTTATGTATACTTATTTACGCTATCTCGGTAGTAAGTAGGAGATATGCACGAGTCCCAAATTATCGTGAACGTGTATAGCAACGTTTTTAGTCGCGAACGCAAAATTTTTCCACGATTAAACGATTCGATCAATTGGCCGGGTCAACGAGAGCGGAGAATTACTCGAGTCTCCGAGTACGTTGACACAATGTCCAGAGTTCTTAACGCGTATATTATGCTCGTGTGCCGTATACGTACGTACGTTGTACACGCGTGACCGCATATTCGCGGATGTGTACGTAATGTTGATGTATGATTTACTAACGTCGGCGTGGCGCGGCATCCGATTGATTTAAAATGCCGTAATAAGCACCTATGCATCGAACTTTGTACCGAAAGATAAAAAGACTATTCCTGTAACGTCGACTATCTTATTGGCCTTCGAACAATTAATTCACGCGAAACATTCTGATTGGATGAATTCTATGTGCGACTGGCCAAACTCGACACGAACGATACCTTACAACTTACAAAAACGAACTGAACGCAAAAAATTGTTCGAATATCGTGATTGTACACCGTCCTTCGCCTTCGAACGTGTAATAGCGGTGACAATGGTAGAATTGTCGTCGTGTGACGGTACAAGGAATAAACGATAACACGCAGCATAAACTGTCGTTGTTCGAGCGTATATCTTCGCTCTTATGTGATATTTATCAAAGAAACGTTAACAATTTTTTTATGAATAGACTGTGCGTTACGCGATGCGTGTTCGATCGGCAAAGTTGGATCGTAGGCAAGGAGAATGAAACGGTTCAATTGTTTAAACACTGTATCGATAAAGTGAAGAGGAACGCGAGTATACCAGCAAGTTACCGTGAATTAGCAGTCGTGCCAGTAACGGAAACATTGACTTACCCGGTTCGAACGAGTTGATATCGATCAAGTTTATCGCTGACTGACCCACGATGACGACGCAGTTGGTAGCCTTGATTAGTGCGCTGCCCGCTGCAACTCAGGCAACGGCGAGCTCCTTGCCAAACAACCAGCATCACTAGACAATCAAACCAACGACCCTCAACAATTTCTTTGTTTCAACTTTCCAATCAACTTTACGCTACGCGAAACCAATTCTACCAGAAAGTAAGAAGATAAACTTGAAATTTAAATATCGTATATCCTTCTATTGTTCGAAACACATGGATACGTGATCACGCGTAACCATCGAATTTTGCGAACGGTCATTTATCGATAGATACCGCGCGGTTCGATATCAATCGGTAAATATCCGACACGGTATTCAAGTGTCAATGTTTTCAACCGTGACATTTCGATTCAAATTTCACGCGCGTTTACTTTCGTTCCTAAATTACAAGAAGAAATCGTCTTCTCGAAAAATGCGTTTACGGCCGAAAAGATTTAAAACTTTTTTTTATTTCGCCGTTTATCTTCCGTTCATAATTTATTTGTTCGATGTATGTTTTGACTAGCGATGTTACAACAGTAACAGATAAGTGTCATGCATCATAAATTGTAATTGCGATACAAGATTTCGAGTTACTCCTCGACCTTCCACCGATATTACGTGATTTGCGTGATTTTGTAATCTATCGAGCACCGAGTGCGCAGTGAAATCGATTAATCGTCTAAATTTACAACTTTAGATCGCTTAGAAACATGCTGTAATCTTTTTTTAATTGGATGAAAATGCTATTTTTTTTTTAAGGTTGCTGTAAATATTTTCACGCAACAACTTTGTCTTACCCATAAAGAATTATTACGAAACGTTACTTACCGAATGTTCGTACTTATATATCTTGGTGTTTAAACGATTGTCTATGGGTTTTATCAAGTTTTATCAAGATAATTTAGTTGAAATTATCCACAAACGGCAAAGTCGTTTACATATTAAAACTGTAATTTCATTGCGTATTTCGGTCGACTTTTAGTTTATTACAAGTTTTTTCGAGGTAGAAAAATATATTATTGTAAATCTAGTGATCGCGGACTACGTAAGCGCGCGTTTATGCAGGTTACTTTGCTACGTTTATTTTTCACAGCAGGTATCGTCTGTCTCGATCTTTGAATTCTTGTCTAATAATATTTTCGTATGCTATAAGTTCGGAAGCTTAATTTTGAATGTGTCATCGGAAAAAATGAACCCTCGTGACTGATCTATTTTAAGTTGAAACCTATATACATGAAAGTATTGCTGCAGAAACAGAAGTACGTATACAGAAATGTTTCTTACAGGTAGATTCCACTTTTTAAAGACTCGATTTCGTCAACGGAATTGAGATGGCGCAAAGTACTGCATGCTTTCAAATATGCGCGTGTATAATTTTTCTATCGCAAAACATTGAATTTTATTGAAAAAAAAAAAAAAAAAAAAAAAAAAGAGAATAGAATCTGAGGTTCATTTTTACGAAAGCGAATTAAATATCGAATCTGGACCGTGTACAGAGCCAGTGTACGAAAAAGGTGTTAAGTATATCGTAGCACATACAAAGTTTTATACACGCCGCGACACGATAACTATTCTTTTGTATAAGCATTAAAAAATGCATACGATTCACTTACCTTGTAAACGTCAAGTACACGCGATGGCGTCTTGTATATTCCACGCGGTCGAAAAGAAACGATCGAAGTCTCAGTCGGTATTATCGTACATTACAATTTTTCTTCCCTTATTGATTCACTGTTTCACGATCTGTTCACGATTACTGCACTAAAAACTCTATACTCTATACTATCGTACATATATACGTTAAGTGCGAACAACACTGTCAACTCTAAAGAAAAATTTGATAACAAAAACCATAAAACTAGACACTGCAAGGAACACAGATGTTTCCGATAAGATCGTGTACGAGCGACGAAAATATATATTTGCACACGATATCCATGAATGACACAAAAAATGGACGGTGGTAAAATTCTTTCGCGAAAACTCGTCGCGTTAACGACGAGCTTGACAAAACGATCAGCACTAGGCAAGCTACCATCGAGTACTGCTGATCGCTGACAATTGCACGCATGCGCTCGCACACCTTTGGATCTTCCGTATAGCGGGAATTATAAAACGTTAATTTTTCATTACATATATAGTTGAACATCGAATTGAAAATTGAAAAGTAAAGAAATATAAAAGTTGCGTGAAAGGTTTAACGGTATCACTTTAAATTTTACATTAAAGATGTCGCTGCTGTCTATAAAAAATGAATTTATAAAACATTTCAACGATTGCGATGCACCGTTTTTATCGCTCTATCTAACCGGATATTATCGACGCGTATTTAGTTCCGTAACAAAATTTTACGTTATAATTTAATGGATGTATCTGTGACAGACGTTTACAAATAGAAAAACTGATGTTTTAATATATGTGTATGTGCATGTGTGTGTACATAGAGTAACGACACAAAAAAATCATGTATTCGACTTTTTGTTTCGCATACTGATCTATACGGCTAATTGTATAACAGAGAGACGACGCTTATACATAAATGAAACGTTTTTAAAATTACCGATAAATGCAGTAATCATATTGTAAATACATTGTACCCTTAATTTCGTTTAAATAAAATCGTTGATGCTCTGGGAAAGCGTTAATTATTATTCTAAATGAATTAATAAAAAATAAGTTGGTTTAATCTCACGCTATACGTTAGTACAAGTGACAGAGTATAATGATCTACGAAAGGTGAAACATTGCTTTCTTTGTCTTTCCGACTAATCGTCATACGATTATTGTAACGTACGAAATTTATGACAATCGTTAAATACCTAAATGAAAAAGATTTAATATACTACAGCCTCTTTACATTTATAGATTGACAAAATGTACTTATTATTTGTTTCCTTTCGTTCGAGCTCGTATCAAATAAACGTTTAGAATTAAGTTGTACACTTAGGAAAAACTTCAGCAAGTGATCGCGATAACGACGATGCCTTACTAAAGTAGTCGAGTATCAAAACATACTGTATATCGTCTTAAAATTAAATAATACAATAATAAATATAAATATTTCGTTACAAAAATGATCATAATTTTAAAACCTAGATTCTTAAGATAGATATACTATCTTAACGAGTAATATATATTTACATAGCAATGTACATCTATTGCATGATTTTTTTTGTACACAAATGGGGAAAAAAAATGTAAAAAGAAATGACGCGATGTTGAATTTGTTTCGCTGTATATTGTTTGCCGATATTTAGTGCATCATTTTGTGAAGTTTCAAAATTTTTCCTAAACGTTGCTTAGCCGTTTTCATTCCTTTCTTTGGTTTTCGTTCTGAAAATATAATCGTCGAACCGTTCACGAATTCGATAAAGGATAACGATTATTCTTGTAAAATAACATTCGACATAAACCAAACGAATAATACGTTACCAACTGGAACTGGTGCTGCCAATTTTGCTTTAACGTCTTTGAGCCTATTAGGACTGGTCAATATCGAGCCAAAACCGATGCTCGTTTTTGCGTTATTTTCCAAAGACGTGGTCGATGTACCACTTGCCGACGTTACGGACGTGTTTTTTGACTTCTTTTTATTGTACGTCCGTTTAGTTGGATTCTGTTGCGCGATATGAAATGGAAGATTATGTAATATTATTTTTCTTATCGTACACACCAGGAGCGAAAAAGAACGGCATAATAAACGTAATGCAACAAATATTAATAGCCGAACGTAAAATATTGGATATTTATACTTTCATGATATCGTACGTTCACGATGAAATATGACAACATTTAGATGTTCTTAAAATGCATGCAACGCGTGTTAGAAATTGAAAAGTGAAGCTGTAATATATCCTACCAATTTCTTCTTGGATCCCTTATCCGTGTTGTTATCCAGATAATCGTCCTATGCGATATGAGTATGCAAGAAAGAAATAATTATGGAAATGCAAATGAATGTAAATAAAGAGTCAAAGACAGGATGAAAATGGAAGTTAATTTGTGTTACGAATTCGGATTTGTACTTATTTCAAGCAATGTATCGTTACGTATAATATAACGACTAATTGAAACGTATACATATACGAAACCTGGTCAGAGTTAATGAACAAATACGGTGGAATTAGCCAGAAAAACGCGCGCACACGCAATCGCGTTTAAAATAAATCGCGGAAATAAAATTTACGTACCGATTGTTTCGCGCGCTTTGCCGCTGCTGCTTCCAGTCCTTTTTCAACGGACGTTTTCTTTACACCTTCTCGAGCCGGACGATTCGTTTTTGGCAAAAGTGGTCCCACCCTAGCCTTCGGATTCCATGCTTCGTCTATTTGACTTTTTGCTTTAGGTTTGAAAATGTAATCCTCGTCGTCCGAAGCGTCCAATGCCGGATAAACTGTGCGACAAGGAATGCATAGGATATTCGTTACGATGGTCGTCACGATACCACTCGTATTTTTACGCGGTGATAAATCTACACATACTGAAATCGTCGTCTTGATGCACTTTATCAATATTTTCTATCGACTGGTCGTCATCGTCGTCGCGTTGAGTTTTAACAGTTTTCGTTGATTTCGTGGTACTATTCGACGTAGTCGAATAACATTGTTCGCTGAACGATAACATCCCAGCGATCGCTTCCCGCGTTGACGGAGATGCCCTGCCAGAACTGATTGTTTTCAATTTATAAATACTAAGACACCAAAAATGCAAAACAGAACAGTAGCTACACCGTAAGGGGAAAAACAAACTTATTTAACGTTTATCAGAAAAATAAGAAACAAAAAATACTTCGTATGCATGCTTAAGTAAATACGCTTTTGGAAAATGTTATTTTCCTCTTGAATATTATCTTACCCACTGGGAGGTGGCATAGGTTGATTGTACTGTGGAATTACTGGAGTCCTATAATCGGTAAACATATGAAAACGTATGAAATCGTACGACAATTAGGGCTTCTTTAACGATCAATACCTACGTGACGTCTAATCTCTGACCACTGTTTCCCAAAGTATAAGCAGAGGCTTTTAATAATTCTTCGATACCATTTTTTGGCGTATCGCTTAAAATGTCAACGTCCCCGTCGTAATCGCGTTTTAATCGTTTCTGCGTATTCGTTTTGGGAGCCTTCTTTCGTTTCGGCGATTCATCGATCGTGAATCGACCGTAATCGCTTTCGTTACTACCATCGTGAAAATCATAAATAGAGGTTTGTTTCCACGTTAATTCTTTCGATGTTCCAAGAGGATGATTCGATGTTAAACTATCGTATACGTTTACAGTGTCGTGCGTACTCCTCACGACTTCGTTATTACCGAGTTTAAATCTGATCACGGTTGGACTCTGTTTTCCTGGTTTCGACGATCTTTTGCTAGCAGGCGAAGCATTCTTTTCTTCCGACGTTGAACTCTGTGTTTTCACGTAAGGATACATGATGGGTTTCGGTAAAGTTAATTTCAACGGAGGTCTGCCGGACGACGGCGATTCGCTGATCGTCGATTCTACTTTGTTCGTTTCTTTTAACGTCGCTTTAAAAGGATTATTAGCCATTCTATCGGCAACGTCGTAATCTACGAAATCTTTATTAAACGGTTTCTTTTTCTTACGTTTACTTTCTCTTTCTGGTTTCGGGGGATTTAACGATATCAAGTATCGTTCCGCGTGTCGAATTTCTTTACTAAAATCTTTCAACAATTTCTGACTGTTTATAGTTTCCGGTATTTGACCTCTGCTGATCATATTGTACTGAAATAGAAGTAAACTCTGAACCGTCGTTGAAACATAGTTTACGGTATAACGATCCGAGACGAAACGCAAACTTACATCCTTGTCCGTGTTCCATTGTTTTAGAATAGCGAGTAACGCTTTAACGCCCTGTAAAAGATACGCTGGACATTTCTTTTCCTCGTTATTTAATTCCTTCAATTCTTTTAGTAATTTTTTTGCCGCGAACCAGTTGATAGTCTCGAAGCCAGGGTACTGAAATTTGGCAGGAGTTTTCATCTTTTTCTCTAATTCGTATATCCTAAAAATCATGGAGATTCGATTGACAACGTCGAATCGAAGTAATTATTATCGCCGATCACTTGCAAACAGATACTCACTGTATTTGCATCGGAATGTTAAGACTATGTACAAAATTTCCACCGAAAACTAAAGAATCTATCGGAGTTAATACAGCGTGTATCCATCCTGTTGGAATCATCATGGTCTGACCTTGTTTTATAACGCATTTGTAACACGCGTCCGCTTGATCCCCGAAAAAAGTTTCGCTCTGCGTTGAACTACACATCCAATGCTGGTACAGTTGCAAATTCGCGGGTGTGGGCCTGATTAGATAAAACACTTTCTCTCCCCGGAGTACGTGATACCACACGGATGTGCCACCAAAATCGATATGGAAATCTGTGAAACTGTCTTTGACCCCCATTAGGCAATATTTTTGCACTTCAGGACGTTTTATGTCACTATCCTCGGACCAATCGCGCGGCCAAACGGAATTTACCCAGTCGAGTTTACGCGCGATGTATGGTGCTTCGACCATTGGTGAAAGACTGCAACGTGTATTTGTCAATTTATACATATATTTTCTAGAAATATTTAAAGCCAATATGTGGCAAGTCAATGAATATTGGTATACCCAGTATTTGTAAATTCAAGACTAATCACATTAAGAACCCTTGTCCTGCAAGGGGAATTGTAATATTCGACAAAGTCTCTTAATTTCATTCTTATATTACTTTGTCTTGTAACATCGATCACGTCCATATCTCGATCTCCACCTGAATCCAGCGATAGAAACTAGGGTCAGATTAACGTGGAACCTTTAACAGGACTGTCATCTCTATATATATATATATATGTATATGTATATATTGATACCTATGTAACTTTCTACGTCGTAAACGCTAAAATTTGGAGGTGGAACGGTCATGTCTAGTCCATCTTTTCCATCGATTATAATGGGGGTTTCAAAACCGTTAGTTTGCAAGTATTGAAGAGTCAATTGTTGTCCTCTGACGTGTTTGACGATTTCGTCCGCTTTTGGGAAATGTCTGGATTTTAGCTCTCTTATGAATACCGGTGTACCAGTTTGGACCGGTTTTGCGTTCGCGTCCGCTTCGGAATAGTCATGTCTATGCCAATTTAACCTTACTTTCACTATGGGATAATTATTATTTATAAAATATCAACTTTAAAGATACGATCTTAAGAAATAGAGAAATCGTGTACTCGAGTACTTACTAAGCGATGGTCCGCACATGGCTTCGCAACGCGGGCAATGATATTTGTCAAGATCTATGGACATATACTCCTTTACAGATACGCATCTATAAAAGGAAGATACAACGATATTTATAATGATTATTTACAAATAGAACGTTTAGCAACTAATATGATATTTAAGTATTTACATTTTGTCACGTGATTCGCTTAAACACCGAATAAATAAACATAAATATTTGTACCTTTAAATAGGTTATGTTAGTATCAACAACGTCTAGCTCTTTTTCTGTGAAATCTTTCTCGCAACTGTTATTATTAGTAGAAAAATTGTGGCAAATATATTTCGTGGATGTAATCCGGTGTAAACGGAAACCCCCGTACATAAGATAGAAACAGACAAACGTTTGTATTCGATTTACAGAAAGATAAGTGAATCACGGTGTAAAACATGGAATTTAGTTGTAAAATTCGTAAATACTTACCCTCCATGATACCACTCTTTACAGACGTCACATTGTATCATAAATTGTTCAAAATCGTAAGAACGGCCACATAAACAGTACGTAACTGGTAACTCCATTTTTCGTGGTTATTATAGTCAAATATAATTTCGTGACTATGCGTCGTTAACATTAGATGGTAACTATAGTAGCCGCGATGCGTCGCTCAAGCGTCCACTAGCTTCCGTCTCCGTCATTCTTCTTCGGAATCACGTTAAGGTAGTATTTCCATTTATGCCGCGAGAAGAATCGAACCTAACCTCAAACCATGCTAGCTGTAGCATTCTGAGAGCGCGTCGTAAGATCGCCTTACGATATTTTCAGGTTATTTTCTCAAGGATGCGTCCCGAAAAATACTAAACATTCGTGTTTTCGACTTGTTTATTTACGTAATACAAAGATGAAAACACCGCAAGTAAAGAAGTTGAAAACAAAAATTGTGAAAGTCAGCACGAAACAAACCAAGGCGTAAGTAAAGTGGTTATCGATAACGCTTATCAAAACATGTTTCGATAAGAAGGTTTGCATGGCGAATTATAATTTTTAATTTAGGATATTGCCGGCGTACAAGGCGAAACGTAAATTAGTTGGTGGAAAAAGGAAATCCCTTCGTTTAATTATGAAATCCTCCCGTACGAGGACTAAGACCGTTCAGAAGGTTTCGCCGGACAAGAAACAATCACCAGGTTCGGAGTGTAGCGTATTGCAAAGAAGGAAGAAGACGCGCACGGTCTCAAAAGAGTTTGACAACGCGAAACAGAGTAAGAAATCTTGAATACTTTCGTAAGGAATTGATTTTATTTTGATCGTATTTCTATATAGATCGGGGTAAATGCCGTACGCTATTTGCAGGTCGCAGATAAAATGTGGTATATTACTTTTATTCGAATAAAGAACACCGTTATGGAGAGGGGTTGCTTATATTTCAGATTCTATGGGTGTTTTCTTAGAGTCGAGCCGCCACGACTCTGCGGAAGTATCGTTAGCCCGCGAAAGAGGTGCCGAGCGATGTAGTGACGTTTCAGAGCAAAGAAACATAGGTGCACCGGTGATAGTGGAAGCCCTTTCGGAAAATTTATCCTCGCTCAGCATACCGGAGGTATTTCGCCACGATCGAGGAACGAGAGCACGAGAAAACTATGTCACCGATTTTGATCGATCGTGTATGCGAACCATCGATTCGCGACAAAACGATATCGACGTTACTCGTTCGTCGAGCGACAACAACAATTCTAACGACGAGGGAAACCACAATAGGATAACGCCATCGTCGACGAATAGTCGCAGACAACGAAAATTAAAGAAGCCATCGCGGAATGTGAATGCAAACGATCCCACCGCTTCTCCGGATAAAGGTAACACGTCCGTTGATAGAGGCGAAGAACGCGTAATCGACGAAGCGGACAAAGATGACGATACGTCGGAAACGAACGTTACCTGTGCCAACAATAGTAGTAACGAGATACGCAATGATCGTTGCCCGGTGCGTTTTTATTGTCTGAAAAATAAGGTTGTAGCCGTAATGGCGGAGAAGTCACGATTTTGTTTCACCGGCAAATTAGTAGTAAATGTAATATACGGAGCGATACAAGCGTACGGTTGTGTTACAAGCGCGAGAAACGGTCCTGTCGAAATCTACTCCCCGAGAGGTTATAGCAATGTTTTGATCGAAACCAGTGATGGATCTTTACCAGACGATCAATCGGATGTGTGGACGAAGCTTAATGCCGAAGGTATCAATAGAGACATAAAGAATAAGTTAGTCGTCGACATTGATCAAGTACGTAGCGGTATGGCAGTTGTTCTATTGTGGAATTTAGAGAACAAATTGACGAAATTTCTGAACGTGTATTATCCGTTTCGACTATTTCCAAGGATAAAAAATGCATCGTATCATTCCTGGACCGAGCCAAAGAGAGCCGAAGTAATATTACAATCGAATCTTTATACCGGCAACAACGATTGCAAGGAATTGATCGTTGATCCGCGCGTTGCGTGCGAGGTCGGTGAGAAAATGTTAAACGATTGGCGCGCGAACAAGTGGTCCTGCGCGTTGATCGCTGGCGGTAAAAGCGTTGGCAAATCCACTACGACGCGTTATTTGATAAACAGCATATTAGCCGCGTGTAAACAGGTGGTATTGGTGGACGTTGATCCTGGTCAAACGGAATGCACGCCGGCTGGTTGTATATCCTATAGTCTAATCGAAGAACCTTTGATGGGGCCAAATTTTACGCATTTAAAAACGCCTATTTTCCAATTGTATATCGGAGACGTGAACGTGTCACGATGCATCACGCGATACATCGAAAGCATGAGGTTGTTGATCGATAAATTATGCAGCAGTACCATGCTCTCGCGGTTACCCATCGTCGTCAATACGATGGGTTTCTCTCAAGGTATCGGATGGGAAATTATTATGTATACCATCAAATTAATTCGACCTTCTTTGGTCGTACAAATTATGTCGGAAAAGTCTAAAAACAATTACATCGGATACCTGAGTAAACAAGTGGTAAATCGGCAGGTAATCGTTACGATCAAAGGGGTTTCATAGATCGTTTCCTGAATTTCGATACGATCGAGTAAACGTTCTTTTCTCGTAGCAACCATGGGCTTCGTGGAGCGTGAACGTTGTCGATTGGAACCGACCGTGCGTTCACGAGCTATACGTGGTGCGTTCGCACGCGGAACGCAAAGCTGCTCCAGGATACGAGACCTGGAACATGGAGCCGTATCAGCAACGAGAACTCGTAATGATCTCTTATCTGAGCGAGATCGTGCGCACGTAAGACGATTTTAAGTGGTTATTCGTGTTTCGTTCGATATTATATTTTTATGCGATATAATCGTTTCATTTTCAGGCCAAACGATAAAATCGTATCGTTGAACATTAACGAAGCAGTGCCGTACACGTTAGTACCTCTTGATTTTTTCGTGTTTACGCGGTATTAAATGCACCGATCGTTTAAAACGTTTTAACGCCTTTGAATTTGTCCAATTATAGAACATCTTTTTCTTCGTTGTTCGTATCGATTCCACGGGCATTCGTTCCTCCGACGCACGTGTTGAACGTGATAAACGGCAACATAGTAGCTCTGTGCGGAATCAATACAGAGGATGACGAATCACGAGGGATCGAAGTTACGTCCGGTCTTCGTATACTGGATAGATCTCCTCTTTGCGCTTGTTACGGTTTCGGTAAGAATATTTCCTATACGTTTATACTCTCGCTCTTTCTCCTTCTAGCTCTGTCTCTTCTTGAATCCGCAATAATGTTAATGCTGAATTAACGTAAATCTTCGTGCGTGTGCAGGGATCGTTAGGGGAGTCGACACGGAACGAGAAGAAGTGTATATTAACACGCCATTACCGATACGCACGATGCAATACGTGAACTGTTTGATGGGATGCATACCGCTACCCATTACCCTTTTGCAGCCGTCTCAGCAAAAGAATGTACCTTACACCGGTGGAAATCAAGTTTTGCCAATGAGCCGAGAACCTCGTAGAGGATATTTTCGCATGAGGTATCAGAAGGTGCAAAACAACGCCTAAACGATTCGTCTACGAATTTTATTTGCGTTACCGAAACACGTTGTACATAGCATCGATAATTGTTTCCCATCATTGAAAAGTCATTTATAATATTTTTTTTTCGTTTCTTTTGTTTTTTCATTTATATCACCGATAGAAAATGAGATATTGTAAAAATGTACGATACAACGATACAAATGCGCGTGTAATATATAATTTCCAGTCGAGAAAAATGACGGGCTAACGAAACGTGTATGGTATAGACTGAATCGAGATGACAAGATCTAAACATAATGGGCAGTGTATAAAAGAGCTTGTTGTCTTGATTATAATAACGAAAATAAATGCTTAACGACGATTTATAGAAAAGAAGAGAAAAATAAAAAATATTCGCGTTTCGTTATATTCCGACTTCTGGGGACTAGATGAAACGACGATTTACCTCGAGATCGTTGCTCGATCGTTTCGCGTTTAGAATTTACAGGTCGAAGCGCAAAATCGATCGAGTAGAACGATCAATCGGTTGGCACGGTATTGCACTCGAAATAGGGACAAAGAGATCTTAAGATGGCAGTTAAGGTTTGCACGCTCCATGATTTGCCTATTAATCTTTGCCGTTTTGTGGCCGATAAATTCTTCACGTCCGTATAATGTCGCGGGAATCCGAATATTTCTTCGAGCTCGGTTATCCACAACGAGTCGCTCTCGTCCTTCATCAGTATCGGTTTCAAAGCCAGTTTACCTAAGATCGAGAAGAGATCGTTGGCGATGAAAAATAGAAACGATGAAAGCGACGAAACATGGTTAATTTACTGTACCTTGTTTCAACGAATTTACTTTCGTGGTAACCGTTCGAATCTTTTTAACGAGCGCGTAACGTTGGCAATGCGGCGTAAGTATATCTTGTACGTCTTGTTCGCCTTGATTCGCCAAAAATTGCGGTTCAATGGGTAAATTGTGCCAGTAGAGTCTGAGTCGGTGTTGCGGTGAAAAATCGGCAGAGTCTATCGCGTCTGGTTCCTGTCCTAAATGTCTGTAACACATTTTGTCGATATAAACGTTGTAAATCGAACGAACGATTAATCTTTCCGATTCGAATTCGACAACGCGAAGGAATTGTTCGTGGCTAATAATCGGTGGCAGAGATGGCGATAAAAAAGACTAACTTGTTAATTTCTAGTCGATACTCGCTTGGCATCGAGGCAACGTTTTCGTACATCCAAAAGAGGTGACGGCCGTTGTTAATTTTCTTGAGCAATTCCAGAATTCTGCGGTATTCGAAGAACAGGATTCCCGTTCCATTTGGATCTGAGCGAAGAAAAAGAAGAGAGCGGTGAAAAGAAGAAGCAGCAAAAGGGCGAAAAGACGCGCGCGCGATAAACAGATTCGAACCATAGAGACCGAGTCGTGCGGGGTTAGCGAGGCTCAAGTCGTTGCACGGCGATCCACCGATCAACAGATCGATCGGGGCAATTTCCTTGATCTTCTCTTTCGTGATACCCCTGACGTCGCCCAAATGAACGATTCTATCGCCGAAATGCGAGGCGCTCACCAGCAACGCGTCCGGATCGATTTCGCTCGCGTAATAAACGTCTACGGCTAGTCCGAGCTTCTGAAGCACCAGCAAACCTGCAAACGAGCGAGACGAGTGAGAAGATTTTGGTGGAAACCGGTTAAAGAAAGATGCATTCTTTCACCTGTGCTCAAACCGTCGAACAGAGACAATACGCGTATCTTTCTTCCATGCTGGCTATGTTGAACCGACCGTACGACCGAATTAGAAACCGTACGAAACATGTCGATTATTTTGTCCTTCCAGTTTGAGCGTGGTCGCACGATCGTGTCGGAAACGGAGCGAGACGCGCCGTTACATAGGAAGCATTCCCAAGGATCTTCCTGCAGCACTTGCTCGTACGTCGTCGGGCACAACAAATGCTTCATGCAAGCCGTGCAGTAAACCCTGGAAATTACCGAATTCGCGTACACGCTTTCTTTTTAATCGTTCGCGAGCTTACCTCGGACACTCCTCTTTGTCGCAGATGATCACCGTTCCGGTAGCGGCGCAAATCGTGCAATAAAACTACAAGGAAAATATGAAAAAATGAAAAAATGAAAAAACGAGGGTCATACAGGATCATGGCGCGTTGTTCGAAAGAAAGAGAAAGTCCTTACACATTTCGAATCGTTGCCGAACACGAACATGCAAGGTTTGTACTGTTCCTGAAACGAGATCGAAGCGCTTTTATTAGGGCAAGCGTTCTAATTATCGACGTTACCGTACCGAGCACTCTTTGCACAAAGATCCCTCGAAGAACGGATGAAGTTCCGTAGCCCCGTCCTTGGGAATCTTCAGGCACTTCAGACAGAGAGATTCGAAGGGTATTCGGCCGGTGATCGCGGAGCGTAAATCGTCTGGATCGGAACAGGTTGATTTGTCACGAGTGGGGATATTTCGTTGATACGCTTCGACGGCTACGTCAACGAACCTAACGTGGTATGTATTTCGATTACGTTGCCGTTGGCTATAGTTTCGAGCGTACGAATACCGAGGATCGAATGGCTGGGTAGCGATAAGAAAATTTTGCGTTTCTCGTACATCGATGACGCGGCGGTCGAAGCGTCAGATTTTCTTTTCTCGACTTACCGCTGCTTTTTATATCCCGAGCTCGTTTGTCGTCCACGTTCGGATTGTTCTTTAACTCGTTCAGCTTGCCGACGATATGCGTCGAATATTTATCGTATATTTTCACGGAATCCTCTTTCTTTAACGGAACGCGCAGCGTTTCCGCGATTGTGTCCGTTTTCGAGAAGTATTCGAACACGTCGGCCAATGTCCAACTTTCGGTTTCGTATCCGAAACGAGAACAATAATCCTAAAACGGAGACGAGCGAACGAGAAAATTGAATCGTTCGTACGTTGAATCTCGAGTACGTACCTTCGCAGCTTGGAGGACACCGACCAGATAGACGTGCTTCTTGGTGTTTTTCACGTAGTCTTGCATCCTCTCGATTCCTTTGTCGAATCTTAGAAACAGCTGGTGATGAACCTATCGCGCAACGAAAATATGAGAAACGTAGGTATTTTTCGTTACGTTCGAGGATACCGGATAGAAAGCTCCGATGCTTACCTCCGAAAGTTGGTAGTCGCCGTACCACATGATCCACTGACAACCAAAGCTTGGCTCACGCATGCAACAGTCGCGGTAATCGATGATCATCGCTACGAGGCGAAAGAAAGGATTATTAAATACCGTTAGGGTAGTCCGTTAGAATAACGTTCGAACCGAAAGATCGTTAACGCTAAAGAATCGATGGGAAAATAGAAGGACGTCACCTGGCCACCAATTGTGCCCCGAGATTTTTGCCCACGTTATAGTGCCCGGATGTTGTTCCTTCAAAGGCAGTCGCGTTAAATCCACGTCGACTCGTTGCGGCGGCGATTCTTTCGGTTTGTCGATTTTCTTGTTTTGAGTTTCGCCTGCGAATCAAATTAGTTACACCGATTAGCCGAAGCGTCGCGGAAACAAAGAAAAACTGTTTTTCACTTTCGCTTTCGTACGCTTTTGATCCGACAAGTATTTTTCGGTGACTTTCGCGTTCTTCTCCTTCAGATGGTCGAGCCTTTGTTGTATTCGGGGCGGATACGGGTAGAACCTTATCTCGTCGAACGCTAGAGACAGAAAGGGAACGAGGAAAATCGTAGTTAATTCATTCGAAGAACGACTGGACGGAAGAAATGTTGGCGGGAAATATTTGACGGATTTACCTTCGATCGCCTCCGAGAAGTTCTTCTCTATCCAAGCGGCGTAAGGTTTCGTCAAAGCGCAGCCGAGTCGTTTGCGCAACATCTGAAGCAAATCGGATGCTAAAATGCTCGGATGCACCGAGACACGAGCGAGTCGCGTTAACGGAAACGGAGGAGGTGGAACGAGGGGAAGACAAGCGTGCTCGAGAAAAAAAAGAAGAGTTGAAAGAAACAACAAAGAAGGAAAAACCTGCATCGTCGCGTCGATAGCTCGAACTCGTGCTACGTTCAAATTCTGCGTCAGCCTACACTTCAGATTGCTGGAGAACGATTCGATCTGCGTTTTTTCGTTCAGCTGAAATCATAGTAACGGCGAGATCAATTACGCGAAACGAGCGATCTTCGTTCCTAACACGATAAATGAGAAAGAAGGAAAAGAGAAAAAAGAAAGAAGAAAAAAAAAAGAAAAGGAAATAATAGTAATAGAATATAAATAAAAAAAATATATATTCACTAATGATATACGAGCTTCTCCGATCCAGTAAACCCATACTTTCCCCGTCTCGGACAACATTCCTACATGGTCGGCATCGATAATTAACGCTGCAATGCATATCACACAGAAACGTTTACCAAAGGTGCAGTTATCGATCGATCGGCGTTTATCGCGCTCTTCCGACCCGCGAAATTCCAAATCGAAGTTTAATAATCTCGCGGCGAACAGATCGAAAAGTTGAAAACCAACTACTTTTCAACTGGCGTCGATAAATCGTGTTTGCGACGACGTTTGAGAGAAAGTACCAAAAGGGGGTTGAAAATACGTGTATAGAAAAAACACTTTTCGAGGTGTTCGATGCTCGTTCGGGAAATCGAAGCTGCACGGTGAACGCGAACAAAGAATAGAGAATAGAGAACAACGGATTCACGGACACTAATGATAATCCTTGCCTGGCCACCAGCCGGAGCAACAACCCCACACCAGTTTTCCAACGACGCGATCCTTGTCCACTTTCGTCGATCCTCGCGTCACTCTTCTCGGTTCGGGATGCTCTTGAATCGTTTGGAACGTCATCGCTCGAAGCGTAAAGGCGTTCACGCTTCCAGGCGCCGTCCTGTTTCTCTTCAAACTCGAACTTCTCGTTCCTGAGCGCTTTCCGATACCGTCGACCGATTTGCAGCGTCTCTTTTCGCGAACCTCGTCGGCCGGCGACGGGAGTCGATTCTTTCGATCGTCGTGCAACGTCTCTTCTTCGATCGAGAATTTCTTCTCGTTCGAGATTTCTTCGATCGGCGAGAAGGTAGAAAGTACGCAGGAAAAGTCGGCCGATCGAAAAGTTTCTCGTTCGTGTTCGTTTTCGAGCAGCTTCGAGATTTCGCGATTGTTCGATTCCGAGACGGTCGTGGAACGAGAATCGCTCGAGTATTCTCGATCTATCGGAGGCAACGGGTAGAGTATCGGTTCGCGGTTCTCGTCCTCGGTCGAAGAACGTCGTTGATCCTCGTCGACGAGTCTCCGACGACCGCGAACGAGTCGTTCGTTCGGCAAAGCGACGATGTCGGACGGTTCGAGGACCGCGTTAGGACCGTTTCTTTTCCACGAGCGAATCTTCGACACGCGTTTTCGCCGCAACGTAGCCATCGTGACGGGAGCGACGGGAGCGACGGGAGCGACGGGAAAGCGAGTCGATCGAACGGCCGACGACGGTGCGCTCTGGACGCACTCGCGTTTGCAAGTGGGGCAGCAAGCGGTGCAATCGTTACGAGGCAGATCGAACGTAAAATCTCCGATGATTCGTTCGCGATCTTCTCGGTGTTCTCGCTTGCCCGATCTACTCCTCGTTTTTCTCTTGCACGATTTCCAAAAGTTTTCGATCGTCGCATCGTTGCCACGATCGAGTTTGCGATTTCCACGTTTCGCGTGAGCGTTTCTCTTGGCCGCCTTCTTCCTTCCGCGGCCACTTCCTAGGTAGGACCGGTTTTTCGACGAATACGGAGATATTCTCGCGGAGAATCGCGAAGACGATTTCCGCGTGGAAGAATCGGCGATTTCGATCGTAGAATTCGTCGAGAAGAGCGACTCGTTGTCCTCGAGAGCAGCGTCTCGCGTCGTGCCGCTCCTCGCGTTCATCTCCGACGGTATCAATCCCAATTCCATCGCGCATACCAGCGTCCACACGCTTCTCTCCGCCCATCGCTGCAAGGAATCCTTGTTGCAAGGAATCGTTTCCTCGGTGACCTGCAACACGCAAACGGACAAAGGTCGCTTACGAGGTTAAGGAAGAATCGGCGATCGTACCGATGCCAGGCATCGAACGAAACTAGGAGACGCCGCGACTTTCCCGTCGAAACGTCGAAGGAACGCGACACGATCGAATAGGTGGCGAGACGACGCGGCGCGGTGTCCGATCGTCGAGAAGGCAAGAAGGAGAGATCGAAATCGCTTTTTAAACGGTTGAACGAAGGGTCGGGGATAAAAAAAGAGGGGGTAGGTAAAGCGTAGAAGCAAGAGAGGGGTGGCGCGCAATCCACGTGGCGCCTCGAAAGGCATTTCTCGAGGTCGCGGCATGCTTTGCCGGGGTCGACCCGATGAATGGAAACGTCGGTATTATTGTGTTTACACGCGGGACACACGGGGGCCTCTCTCGCTCTCTCGCCACACTTGGCGTGGAAACATTCATTCATAAAGCGTTCCGCGCGTTCCTCTCGCCACCGTTACCCCTCCTCCTCCTCCTCCCTATCCCGGACACGTTGCGCCCCTTCTCTTCGCCACCCCTCTCGCGATCTCTCCTCTCCTCTCCTCTTCCGTTCTGTTCCGTTCCGCTTTGCTCCGTGCCTCTCTGCCGCAACGTTATACCCCTCTACGCGAGGGTGCACGACCCTCGCCCGAGAGTAGAGGGGTAGAGTACCAGTGACGTAGCCAGAATTACGACAACGACCTGCTGATTCGCTTATTTTATTGTCCCCGGGTCGTGTCCGTTTCCAGCCGGCTCGTCGAGGCCGCGTTCTCGATCCGAAAACCAGCCCCTTAACCGACTTTCGCCGCTAAAACTTCCGCCTCCTTCGCGCTCTTTCCTCTCGCGATCGATACTCGCTTGTTCGACGATCGACGATCGACGTGCGTCGCGAATAACCTTGCAACGGCCGTGTCGTGCACTCTCGATTCGTACCTTTAGCCGCGTTTTTAACCGCGTCGTTTCGCGATCTCGCGTACTCGAATTTCAGCGAACGATTCTAGGACACGTGTTTTCGTCCTCGATATCGATTACGATTCGTATCGCCGCATCGCGATGCAAAATGGTCGCTGATCGACGAAACGGGATTACAGACAGGCAGAAACGAGACCGTGGATACGTTCGCGCTCACGCGTACTCAGCTGACATGAATGGGGGCCGAGAGCGCGAGCGAGCGTACGTATTCGTGGATTCGGTCGCGACGACTTTCGGTATAAATTGAAACTTCTCGAGGGTATCTCGTCGACGGTGGGAGAATGTCAGTGGGTGGAAGACGAAGACCGCGTTCGCGCGACGGCAGAGCGTGGGACGAAGACGGTGGAAAGCAGGCAAGAGGACGAGAGTTAGAGAACGACGAAGCGAGAAACAGAGGCAAAGAGAAACAGAGAAAGAGGTGGAGGGAGAGAGAGAGAGAGAGCAGCGAAGGGTACAAAGCCACGAAGCTGGGTCAGTTCCGTTTAGTACGAGGTAGGCTACGATTCCGTTTGGATCGACGAGACGGTAGGCTCTCGTGGTCTCGAGATCGGCCAACGCAGCGTAGCGTGCTCTCGTCGGCGAAAACGAACAAAATGAACGGCAGGCACGACCCTTTGCAAAGCCGTGGAAAAGTTCGAACGTCGTTTCGACGTTTCAGTTTCGACATGGAAATATTCCGGTAACATTCACGGGTAATTCGAATCGTTGCTCGGTTTGGCCGATTCGATGTGGCAAGCCGAGAAACGACACGCTTCTTCGTTTCGCTGGAAAAGTCGAGAACCCCCGATATCGCGAAGAGAACGCGACGGGGGATCCGATTTTTCGAGGGCGGACTTACGGGAACGTTCTTATTCGGTTTTCTTCTTCGTTTCGTTCGAGGTAGTCGTTGCGCAGCGACACACCGAGCGTTTCGTCTTGGCGTATACGGTGGACGACGGACATCGGACAACGGCCAGTCGGGTAAACCGCGCGCAAACGATGGCGAAGAGCAAGGAAACGAGAAGGAGGGTGGAACAAACGGATAGAACAGAATAGAGAAAGAGGAAGAGAGGGCTCCACTGGCCTAGCGCAGCGTGGGCTTTTCTTGCATTCTATTGATTTTTCCGAAAGTTCGCGTGGTGGGAGTCTGGCAGGCAGCGATGTGCGGGTTTGCCAGGAGCGTGTTTGCGTGAGCTTCGACGACGTATCGTCTTTTCCTTCTCTCTCTCTCTCTCTCTCTCTCTCTCTCTCTCTCCCTCCCTCTCTCTCGGTCATCCCTCTCTCTCGGTCACTCTCGTCAACCTGGCGACTGCTCTTTCTCTCTTTCCAGCACACCGCTTCATCCGAGCGTTTCCCTCTTCGTCGCCGGCTGGTATATTCCTCTCTCGCTTCGACGAACCGAGCTCGTAAGCTTTTCTCTCGTTCGTTCGCTTCTGCGTGAAATCCACCCTCGACCCCGCTCGCTCTGGCTCGCTCGCGCCAACGCTGCAACCCGATGATGTATACGTGCGGCTGGCCAGCGCGCTC